CCTGAACCTGCCCCCCAGCCTGGGCTATTTTCAGCACAGAGATCAGTGTCAGTGCAGCGCGGCCTTGGTGGTGGGATAACGTTTATCTGCCCAGCCGTCTGCTCTGGCCCGAACCGTCTTCTTGGCCCCACCCCCTTGGCAGGACGGACTCCTGGGGGAGGCAGATGGCAGACGTCCTGAAGTCAGCACAGCAGAAGGGAGACGTCGGCTGGTGTACCCTTGAGCAGGGCACTTGGCCTGAATCACTCCAGCAAGAAAAGTGACTCTATAAATGGGCAGCTCATGGGGAGCATTAGCCAAAGCTGCACAAGCTTCGTTTATACAGAGGACACTGCAGGGGGCGCTAAACCTCCCTGATGCTGCCCCCATAAAGCAGCAAGTGGTCTGAAACCTCAGCCATGCTGGATGGCACCGTGTCATGGTTTCCGCAAACCAGTCCCAGTCGGGTCTGGAACTCACAGGTCAGCAGCATCCAGAATTACACCATTACAATCATTTCAGACCAAATTCTGGAACTCCTAAACTGCCCCAGAGACTAAACAAATAGTTTGGGCCACTACTCATGCCAGATAGGAACTTTCCTGAATCCAAACCGGAACTGCAAAGGAATCTGCTTTAGTATTTTCTAAGTACCAAACCATCCACCACGGCATGATTCTAACCAGTGCAAAGCAGTGATATTCATATAACTTCTGATTGGCTTTTCCATTAGCCCCACCCCCTGCTGCAGAGGCTTTTTGTGATTGGCTGTTGGTCTGGAAAGGGGAAGAGCCCCACCCCTCAGTACCAGCTTATTCTCAATGAGCACAGGCCAGTGCAGGGCTCCCCACACTGGGACTGGCTCAGGCCCAGTCCAGGCTGGTTACAACCCTGCACACGCAAACCACAGCATTACAGGGCTGCACTTCATGGGTAAACATTTTTAACTACCTGCCCCCCTAACACATCCTCCCTGCCAGCAGTGTGCGTCAGGCCCCCCCACAGCACAGTGGCTGGTGTGAAGGACCCAGATTCTGTTCCAAAGGTGGCACGGCTCAGGAGCCCAGTGGAGCCATGACTCAGCTGGGCCTGATGGTGGAGAGGGGAGGCACGTGTTACCCTCTAAGGCACGTTTTAAAAGTGAGATTTCTGTGGAGAAAGAAGGTAAATCTAAATAATGAGCTACCCATCAATAGCAGCTGGATTGAAACTTTACTTGGATCTGAAAAACAGATAAATACTTAAATTTCTATTCTATTTATTTACCAGATGCTTTTATCCAAAGCAAAATATATTTATGAAGAAAGCAACTGGGGGATTTCTGGAGCAACTGGGGGATTAAGGGCCTTTAACAGCGGCCCAATGGCGACATCACTCTGGGGTTCAAACTGATGACCTTCCGATCACAAGCACTGTATCCTAACCCCCTGAGCCACACCTTTATTATCTATAGGCGACATCACCATGAAGATGGCCTGGGGGCCTCGCTGCCATTTCTGTGGGCAGCAGCTTGCAAGTCGCATTTGGATGCCACGTTTGGACGTGCCTCACCCCCAGTGAAGCGGATCGCAGTCAGCCGTCAGCGAGAGCCTGCCAACCCCCCCCCCCATTAGATCATCGTGACCCAGGAGCTAGGGGGGCAGGTGGGCCAGAGGGCGGGGGGCACACGGCTGACGCAGGACGGAAACGGTGCGTGTGGTAATTTTAACAGTGTCCTGTCGGGACTGCGATAAGGATGGGGGGGGGGGGGGCAAAATCAGTTACTTTAAACTCCACTTACCACCGAGAAACTGATTCGACACGAAGTCATTCCCCAGGACTTTCTCAAAACACGTTGAAGCAAAGAAAGTTCAAATGACTGACTGATCAAACAGCCTTTTTTTTTACTTCATAGGCTCCTGCGTTTTAAGAAGCGCCTGGTACTTTGCTGAGTTTCTCGTGGGCGTAGCACGGACATGGACGAGGTAATGTGATTTGGGATAAGGGACTTTTCTGGGGTCCCACGGGGGTCTGCATAGCATTGTCCAATTATATAGTGCCAATACAGCTAGGAGGTGGGGCTAAAATTGACCAATGACAGCAGAAAGCTGACAGAAAGGATGCAAATGGGGAGCAAAAGGACCCCCCAGTAAATTAGCATGCAGGGGAGTGGTAACAGCAGACTAAGCAAAGCTGCGAGAGCTACCCTGCTGCCCCAGTGCCTCTCAGGGGGGCTGGATCTAGGTTAGGAGCAGGGGGGGCATTGCAGATTGCGGTAATGATGCGGTGTCCCCGAGCACGTAAGGGGGGGGGCGCACATGGTGACCTTCTTCCAGAAAACAACCGTCGGCTCGCCGCCTTACTGTTTAACTGCTGGGCAATGGAAGCGGGGGTTTCAAGAGGATACCGCCGGGAGTGGGGGGGCGGGGGGGGATGGGGTGGCCACAAGACGCACCCGAGCTCATCTGGCACGGGGCCCGTCAATCTGTCCGAAGCCTCAAAACTCATCCCCATCTCTCACAGTCAGCCTCCTTCCCCCAAGGTCAGCTCCCAGTGAACTGGCGAATTATCCAATGGGCACGCAGGAGTCAGGGGTTTAGAGCAGCTGATCAACATTCAGCCTGGTACACCAGCCAATCAGGCTGAGACCCATAACCAAACACCTCAAACCTCTCTGAGCTGCACATTGATAACGTACCGGCACTTCAATGGCCCGCTGCCATATCTACACACCACCACCTGGGCAGCACATCCCAACCATTAGACACTTAAACATGGCCGCCTGCTCAGAAATGTGGCCTAACACAGATCGGTGTCGGGTCCAAACCCAATAATCCCACCGGGAAAAGAATCGACAAACAAGAAGGCTTTCAGAAGCTTGACTGCAGTGAATCATAATCCTGCAGGGTGGGGGTCTCCATCACAAGGACACCCCCGCATCACAGGAGCTGCTGTTTACATCAGAGCCATCACCCATGCCCTTCCAGACAGAGATTTTTTAAAAATGCCCACCCTCCTTTTTTAAGCTAAAATAAGGTAGCGGCCTGAACTAGGGGTAACTGAAAGGAGAGAAAGACAGCAAAGCTTTTCTCTCTGTTCAAACGGCTTGTTATTGCGGCCGATTCTCATGGTAAAACATCTCCAAGGATACTATGTGAATTATATGAGTTTCTCACTCGCCCTCTTTCACTGGGACACCATTGTTACTTATTCCTAGCGCTGAAAGAGAGACACAGAGAGCGAGAGAGAGAGAGAGACTGAGTGCATATTTAAAGAAAAAGAAGTTTGCACTCCGACTTTGGTTTTTGTTTGGCTAAAGGCTGCATTTGGCAGCAGAGTGCACATAGCGGCATGAAAATGGTGGCTTCAAAGCGGAGATACGCGGGAGATTAACGCAGACCCCCAAACCCCACCTCCACCAGAAGCAAGCCGAGGATATCTCCCGACACCCACGTCTGAGAGGCTCTGCCGCTCACTGCGAAAACTTGGGAAGAGGAATTCCCAGACAAAGGCTCGCATTATGGGAAAGGCAGAATACAAGGTTGTTAGTAGTCGCTGGGCGTCGGCAACCATGGTGACTGTGAATCTCCATGGCAACAGGCCGATGAAGGTGGGATTACCAACACCTGACGGCGGCCCTCTAAACAAACTGGTCGAGAGTGACACACACACACTGCGGGAGGGCTTCCAATGGCGCGAACATGCTCTCTGACACCAAATCCACCTGACACGTCTGGCTCAGCAGAACTGGAATGTCACCTGAACTGATAAATTCCCAAGTTTCACATGCTGCGTGTCCAGGTTCGATCCCTTCAAAATTCTCAATATCACGCTTTCCACAGCCACACCGAAGGATCCTTGCCTTCTCATCTGGCCAAACAGCCATTTCCCCAGCAACAAGGTGTTCAATAGGACGACCCTGACTGCTCAGGTCAGGGCATGGGGAAGTAGGCCGGCCTTCGGCTCCCTTTTGTTGCTTCATCCTCCAATCGGGAGCCTCAAGACTCAAAAGGGGGTGGGGGTCAACACGTTCAGCCCCTCACAGACCCGACCTGCCACTGAATGGTGAGAAGGCCTCTGTTTCAACACCAGGAGGAAGATAAAGAAAAAGAAAAAGAAAAAAGAAAAAAAAATGTTCTTTTCACTGCTGGGCAAAAGGAAAAAACAGAAGGAAATGTGCACCCGGTTCACTGATAGGCTAACTGGTGATACATCTCCCCCTCCCAGGAGCCAATGGTAACGCGAGTACCTCTGCCAGTCTTACACCACCTTAAGGGGGAACCCAGGTCATGGGGGGGCAGGAGGAGAGGGTTAGGCTTAGGGGGTGTTATAAGACACGGCAGGGTTCTGTAATCTTTAATTGGCATAATGGACAGACAGCACATTCCCAGTTCCCGAGATTCATGTTTATGGGAGTTTTACTTACATGAAAATGTTCTGAGGGCAGAAAGAAGAATGATCGGTTCAGAGAGATAACTAAACAGATTGTGGCGTCGAGACCAACCAATCATGTCCTGGAGCCGCCTCCTATAGTTGCTTGGACCCACCTCCTATACAATCTGATTGGTTATCACTCTGATCCAATCATTTTTTTGTTCTGCCCTCAGAACATTTTTGTGTAATTAGAACTCCCACGGGTGAGATTCACTGGCTCTCTGATGCCTAGCATGTGCTAACTCCTCGTTCCGGTAAGATCCCCATCGCCCGCCAGGGTTTCTGCTCGCCAGTGGGCCGGCTTGTGGCACCTCAGTGCTTGCATTCAGACCTCCACCTGACCTGGGATCACATTCAGACCCGAACCTGCTTTAGTGGGTTAGGGGCCCATGCGGCCAAATCCCCTCTGTCACTCTTCAGGTTCCTATTGGGTTATACCCATAATGGGACCAAATGCTCATTGTTTTGTCAGAGACAGACTGTCCCCCACCTCCCCAGACCAGGGGTGCTGCATGTGGCTCAATGGGGTAAGCCTATGTGCCTCTGGAGAGCAAGACAGGGTAGGGCGAAAAGACAATTCAGCTATGAAAGTAAGACTGTTCACTCACCCTGGAAGCTGGTGGCATGGCCCATGATCAGGTACTTCAGCTCAAAGCTGTAGGAGCGGATGTTCTGCAGGGTCTCCCTCCGCACGGCTGCCTGGTAGCTCTCCTCCATCTTGCGGGTGCAGCAGGTGGGACCCTGGTGCTTGCAGATCTGCAAGTCAGCATCTGTGGGGGGGGGTGTGTGTGAAATTCCTTCTCAGGATACTCCGGGAAGAAGCGGCAGATGTGCAAATAAAAAGGTCGGATTCTTCTCTCGAACACCAACCCAGCGAGAAGCAGAACAACAATGCTGCATCTGTGGTCGTCTCTCTGGTTCGGGTTCACACAGAACAGAGCTCATACCCACCCCGTGACCGGCATTTCTGACGGCAAGAACAGAAGCAACCACCGAGAAGAAAATAATGCTCATTTCTTCTGCCTTTCAGCACCGCAGGCACGACATGGGGAACATCAGTGCGTTGGGGTTTGTGTGTGTGTCCTGCCAACAACTAATAACAGGGTCGGCTGTTAAAGGATGGGGGTTTTAAAGAATGCACCTAACCCGGGTTTGAATGGGCAGAATACTGTTCACCACTCAGGAGCCTGGCCCCTTCCCTTCTATCTCCCCCCTTCACCTCCATAAGACCCCCCTCAGGAGCGATGCCCTGACATTAGGCAAACCCTCATCTCTGCACCCCAGGCCCAAACCCCCACACTCCCTACAGCCTGAAACTGACCTGATTGGCCAGCGCTATTGCTCACAGCAGCCTGTAGGTGGAGCCAAAAATAACCACATCTGTGATACGCAGCTACCGGCAAACAGCACTTGCCTGGCAAAAACATGTCAGCCAAACCGCAAACTCACCCTGTTTGGCTCTGTTATATTATTTTGACACAGTTCTAGGCCATCCACACAAAAACACTTTTTATTATTCTTCATACACTGAACAGGTTTCCACCTCGAACCCATAACCCTGCACTCATTAGGCCCAGTTCCTTACTCAGCCAGGCCTGTCAGGAAAGAACCACAGAAACTGCCCGAGTGCCAATAGGAAGCAAACCCAGACCCTAGAGACCAAGTCAGCCCCAGGAAAGAGACTCACTCTTTGGGCCATAGGAGCTCGCACCCTGGGCCACAGCCTCTTGCTCCCAGCCTGGCTGTGTAGGAGAAGCGAGTGGTACGGTTACTCAGAGCGGGTACTGGGGGCATCAATCACCCCAGCTTGTATTGCTGACCACGCCAGCCGCATACAGCTTTATAGAGTGGAAGTCCTTCAGGAAAAACACAGAGCATAAAGATCAGGCAGAGGTCCTCACCACCCCATGCCACCAAATTAAAAGCTTGGCGTGTCCAGGCAAACAAAAACATGGGAAGAAAACAAGCCATTCCCGGGAATGATTCAGCAGCGGCCCGACAGGGCCATCCGGGATGGGGTGTGGTGGGGGCCAATCAGAGTTGATGGAGGGGTGGGAGTATCCATGCCAGTGCCATTTTGCTGCACTGGGGTGCGGTCCACCCCCCTTGGCAGTGCATTATCAGAAAGCGGCCAGTTCTCCTCCTGCAGATTTATATAAAAATGATCATCGTGCCCGGAAACGCATCAGCCGCGGCTCTGCCAGGCCCAGCCGTTGCTATGACGGCCAGGGCTCCCACCGGCACCACTTTCTACTCCGTCTGCATGCCTCCTGGGGCCACCAATTGGTCACAAGCCTGTCGATGAGTCGTACTTTGATCAGGCTTCAAAACACCGTCAGTCTCACAATGAAAACGCCTTTATTGCATATGCCCAAGCTACAGGAATTGTTAACATACAATGAATCAAATTTTTTAAAAAATAAAGAACACAATGTCAACTTAGTTATGCATACATTTTACACAAATATTTGTGTAAGTTTGAGTAATGAAAACATATCCATTCAATAGTTGTAGTGATAAGTTGTTTTAACTTAATTAGACTTGTAGAAGTAAAGGCAACATGTTTTGACTATACTTCAATATGTTACTCTAACTTCGAAATACGCATATAGTTTAACCTACAATTGAAACAGGAATAACTTTTTAAAAAAACGCACGCAAATGGTTAACATAATGTTTTAAGTTGTGCCAACGATTTTTTTAGAGATGAATGTTGGGTTTAAATTGTTCAGCAGAGTTCTAATGGGTGACTCAGTGTAGACCAAGGTTTCTCAACCCAGTCCTCGGGGACCACCAGACAGGGAATTGGGAGAGAGCAAAAACATGGACCGTTTGGTAGGTCCCCGAGGACCGGGTTGAGAAACCCTGGTGTATACAACACTGAAACAACCAAGGAGGGTACAAGTCCCAAAAGAGTTACTTCCTTGAAGAGCTGGATTCTTGTGGCTCCTGCATGCTTGACAGAGATCTCAGAATGGTCTCACTGAACCAACGTGAGCACTGCCAGCCGGCAAGGCAATAAATGAAACCTGCATTTAGTCACAGGCCAGGGTGATCGACACCACAGCTCAGACTGATACTCACGTTTCTATCTAAAATAAATGCTTCAATTTGATATTACTGGACAGAGGATCTTACAAAGACTGACCGCTGTATAATTATGCTAAATACACTTTCATACATAACCTTTACTGTTCTTTGATACAACTTTTAGAAAAATTATAATAAAAATTGATGCTGCCTCTCTTGCAGTGTATTTGTCATGTTTTTACGCTTTTAAACGGTGATTAATGGGTGACGAAGTAGCTACCGGAACTCCCTTTGACTGGGGAAAGCTGTAAGTCACTGTAAATAACCTGCTCCATTGATCGCCACACGACTCCCATAAGCCGGTAAAGACCTGAGATAAAACATGTCCCCAGTCAAACACCTAGTCCGACTATGTGTAGTACCTAAGACCTTAGTTGGGATGAAAGCCGGCAAGATGTGGATCGGTACCCGCTGCGAGCCGCACTCACCTGTGCCAGGAGCCTCAGGTACCCACTTCAGGGGACCGATGTGGCGCAGCTGAAAGGCGGTCTTCACTTCGTGACAGCTGTGCGCTTTTACGCAAGGTGCTACCAGAAGTAACGCCGTGGCCACCAGAGCGGACCAGAAGTGAACGCGAAGGAGCCGTGCCTGGGACATTGCACCATTTCAATCCAGAAGGGCAGAGTCGAGAAATGTACACTCAGAATGGCAAACTTGTGCGAGGCGTATATTTTTAACGAAAGCGTTAATATCTCTCAGATGCGCTCCCGTTAGGTTTTGGCATTCTTGACTTTGTTCGGACCCAACGCGGCTTCTTTTGGACACGATTAAAATCCCATCAATGGCATGAAAATCTGGGGGAGGAAAGAGCGGAGCCTTCAGTCCCTTGCGGTGCTGGATCCAAATGCTCAGCAAGGCTGGTACCGCTCGCCTGGCCGCATGCTCGCTCTCCTGATCCTGCGCCGCCAGTGCTCAGGGATCTCTGTAGTGTCGGATGGGATTATTGGCGTCCTCTATAATTAGTCTGACACTCCACGTATGCCGTTTAAAGTTATATTCAGCTCAGCAAGTTAACCGCCATCCGTTTGCAATATCAGAGGCGGCACGGATCCACACGGTCGCCCGTTTCTCTGAGCAGGATCGAAATGAAGACGTTTATTTGCAAATGAAAAAAACCGTGCAAGAAAGTGGGCGGGAGATGTCGTTTGCTTAGGTCTTAAAACGACCCCTCGAATAAATAAAAAACAATGTCTTACCTACACATTTTGAGGTGTTCAGCTTGTATATGTAGACATACACTCACCTAAAGGATTATTAGGAACACCATACTAATACGGTGTTTGACCCCCTTTCGCCTTCAGAACTGCCTTAATTCTACGTGGCATTGATTCAACAAGGTGCTGAAAGCATTCTTTAGAAATGTTGGCCCATATTGATAGGATAGCATCTTGCAGTTGATGGAGATTTGTGGGATGCACATCCAGGGCACGAAGCTCCCGTTCCACCACATCCCAAAGATGCTCTATTGGGTTGAGATCTGGTGACTGTGGGGGCCATTGTAGTACAGTGAACTCATTGTCATGTTCAAGAAACCAATTTGAAATGATTCGAGCTTTGTGACATGGTGCATTATCCAGCTGGAAGTAGCCATCAGAGGATGGGTACATGGTGGTCATAAAGGGATGGACATGGTCAGAAACAATGCTCAGGTAGGCCGTGGCATTTAAACGATGCCCAATTGGCACTAAGGGGCCTAAAGTGTGCCAAGAAAACATCCCCCACACCATTACACCACCACCACCAGCCTGCACAGTGGTAACAAGGCATGATGGATCCATGTTCTCATTCTGTTTACGCCAAATTCTGACTCTACCATTTGAATGTCTCGACAGAAATCGAGACTCATCAGACCAGGCAACATTTTTCCAGTCTTCAACTGTCCAATTTTGGTGAGCTCGTGCAAATTGTAGGAAAAAGAGGCTATTTGTAGTGGAGATGAGCGGTACCCGGTGGGGTCTTCTGCTGTTGTAGCCCATCCGCCTCAAGGTTGTGCGTGTTGTGGCTTCACAAATGCTTTGCTGCATACCTCGGTTGTAACGAGTGGTTATTTCAGTCAAAGTTGCTCTTCTATCAGCTTGAATCAGTCGGCCCATTCTCTTCTGACCTCTAGCATCAACAAGGCATTTTCGCCCACAGGACTGCCGCATACTGGATGTTTTTCCCTTTGCACACCATTCTTTGTAAACCCTAGAAATGGTTGTGCGTGAAAATCCCAGTAACTGAGCAGATTGTGAAATACTCAGACCGGCCCGTCTGGCACCAACAACCATGCCACACTCAAAATTGCTTAAATCACCTTTCTTTCCCATTCTGACATTCAGTTTGGAGTTCAGGAGATTGTCTTGACCAGGACCACACCCCTAAATGCATTGAAACAACTGCCATGTGATTGGTTGATTAGATAATTGCATTAATGAGAATTTGGACAGGTGTTCCTAATAATCCTTTAGGTGAGTGTATAACTGCATGTATACAAAATCGCGAGAAAAGAGGCGGTGTCTCTTGGCTCTCAAATAATCTCCAGTTTTACGAACTGGCACTGGGTAACCCCTTCGCCTATGAAACCGTATTTAGGACTTCGTCGTGTATGTACTGTCTCCCGTTAAACATCCTGCAGATCATGTCATATGATCAAATGTACAAAACTACGTTCTTATTCACGGCATAGGCTAATATACGACATCTATAATTACTTAATGGACAAAACAATCAATACTCAGCAGCGCAAAATCCATAATACTGATCATTTGGCGAAAGGGGCTATCCTTGGGATGTAAAACTAGGTTTTACTTTAATGGATACAGGTATAGTTGAATGGTGGGCGTTTTAATCAAATAAACGCAGACTCAGGGAAATCATGATATGCTCCTGCGTCTGCCCGAGGACTGCTCAACTTCAATAAACTTTGCGTTAAAATATTTTACAAAGATATATACAAATACACACACCCTGAAAAATGTTATAAAAATAAATATCCGCTTATTATGTGATGTAAACAGGAATCCCCGTTGGGATTAAAATGTGAGATAGAGGGTTCCTGCTGCTAGGCTCACTGTTTCATTTCACTTTTATATTGAATTATCCGAGCGGCTGGCGCATCAAATTGAAGTGCTCTGACAGCAGTTATTTCATAGCACGAAAAGCTGTGCGAAAAACCACACACTGACGCCATCAAGCGTCCGCCTGGAGGACTACAACCTTATCATTTTTACTTAATACGGCGCCGGTGTAGTAAGTAAAAGCATTATTAAAGCTGACTCAGGGGCATGGTTCAAATTACTGGGAAGTCAGGGAGAGCTCGGCTCCCCTGAGACGGCAAGGGGGTGCTCTGAAAAATTCTACACTTTTCCGTACATTAAGGTTCTTGGGGGAAAAAAAATAATATATATATATATATATATATATATATATATATATATATATATATATATATATATATATATATATATATATATATATATGTGTGTATCTGTGTGTGTGCGTGCGTGTGTGTTTATTCGTTCATAATAGAATGTTTTTCGCAGTAAACCTGTTACTGACCGCGCTGCCCCGCACTTATATGCATGCGCATGCATGTGACGTGTGTAATTCAAACCCTGCCCAGGGAAAATTATTTTATTGCTGAACAGTGGTTCCTATATTGCTGGGACAGGGCAAAAATAACGTTGCGTTAATCGCCCACATAGATGAAAAACGTGTAATTGCTATTGATAATTAGTCAATATATGGCTTATTAATTCATTCTTCCATTTTGCCACTGCACATTTAAGACCCACATTAAATTTATTAATTAACAGGCATGCGCCGCGGAGGGGGAGGAGGAGGGCGGTATATAACGTCAGTTTTAGGGTTAAAAGTGCTGGATGCAGTCTGACCCGGTCATGGTGACTGCTGACTGGACTGAAAGTGGCCGCACTTGCCCGTGCAGGTCCGAGGAACCAAGCGATAAAGTCACCACTTCCAAAAACCTGCCTTTACTTTAAAATCACAGATAAGGAAAGGTGTCTTTATAGCGGACTATGGCGCTGAAGTAGCCTGGCGACATACTGAAGTGTGCTGACAGTTCATTTTAACCCTAAAAACGGGGGTGGTCAATCTACTGACAGATATCACGGGGGGTACCCCATGGGGTGATTGTCGGGTGTCGAAAAAGTGCATTTACAAAATCGCTGGGGGAGGGGGCACTCCTAAGTCCCCCCACACGTGCCCACTTGTAATACATGGACCACTTTTACGCACCAAATACAAGCGCATTAATAGGGTTACCGACCTGAATACACCAACTAGTGACACTGACGTGGCGCGTCCCAGCCTTATCAGCGGCGTCTGTCTCATTCCCCGACCTGCCCTTGACACACGCTGTGTGTTTTGGCCAGAGGTATTTGGTGATACCAGGACGGCTTTCTCTAACCCCAAACGTCGTGCCACGTCTGCATAAATTTGGCGCTTTGGATGTAACGAGACCCCTTTCATTAGAACAGCATGCCCGGACTGAACGCCTGCCTAGGCTTCTTGCTGGCCGCCGCGGCGCTCGGTGCCTTCACCAGGGCGCTTCTAGGCCTGCACCCGGGCAATCGCTTTTCACAGGAGCTGCCGGCGTCTTTCGTGCTGGTGGCGAGCCGCCTGGAAATACAGACGCTGATGGAGGTCGGCCAGTGGGTTGGAGGGTTCGGCGCGGACGTGGCGTCCAGCGTGCTGTTCGTGGTGCTGGTGGTGCATGGCGCTGTGTACCGGTGCGCCACCGGGAACCCGTGCGTAACCATTATGGAGTACCTATTGTGCCGGGAAGGCGCGCTCTCGGTGCTCGCCGGCCTCGCTGCACACTTCCTGGGAGCCTGGCTCGCCCAGCTTTTTGTGCACTACTACTGGTCCCTGGAGCTCAGCGACATGCACATGATCCGAAACCTGATGATGCAGGCATGCAGCCCCACTCTGCGTGTCTCCGTGTACCAGGGCGCGTTCACGGAAGGCGTGTGCGCGCTGGCCTTCCATCTCTTCTACTTGAGCGTGCAGCGCGCGCCCGCAACCTTCGGGGTGCCGGTCGTAGCGCTGGCCCTGGCCTTCCTGTCCTATGCAGGTTTGCAAACCGTGCTGTGGTGCCCACATTTACCATGAGAGATGAGGGACGCATTGAATGTGACAGCGATGCATGAGATGAATGAGAGATTTGCAGAATTATAGTGATGGCTGCACAATTGCCCTGACGTTTTGGCATAAGGGCAGCATTTTCCTTAATTTGCTCTGTTCCAGCCAGTGACTACACCTCCGGCCTCATCAACCCCTCACTGGCCTACACCCTCACCTTCCACTGCCCCGGCTTCACCCTCTTGGAGTACACAACGGTGTTTTGGCTCGCACCTCTGGCCGGTAAGTTCGCAGTGCAAGTAAGTCCTGGTGACTCTTGGTACCAAAGTTGCTTCTTTACATTTATTTTATATTAGCCGAAGCTTTTATATAAAACGACATACAAGCAAGGTTAATAGTACAGTATGATCGTACGTGCCCTCAAAGAGTCGACTGTAACACTGGTGGACTCGGGGGGTGGACTGCCCACCGGTGTCCTCATGATTGAAAAGAATGTTGCTAAAGTGCCCTTTAGGGCTGCAAAAACACCGCTATTGCCTGTCCTTCACATTGGAAAAAATGGCCGAATTTCTTTTAGGACGCCCCTTCATGTGACAATGTGATGCAGGGCCATATAAGGTGCCCTCTGCATGCCCTTCCAAGTGAGCATACATGAAGAGCCCCTGTAATAGAGAAAAAAACATCTTCCAGTTAAGAAAATTTGTGCTTTTCCACTGGCATACAGGAATCAAGCTGTACTTGAGCTGTACTGCTAAGAGAAAAGTTAGTGCGGTTTCAGCTGTCCTCAGTTTTCCACTGCAGAAGGGTCCAATCAGCAAAAGCGCTGCTAGGTTTGGAGACTGACAGTGACGTAAAACCAAAGAGATGCTCATTTACTGTTCACACATTGCACAACGTGATTTACTATGTGCTAATTTCTGTTTGCAAGTCTGTGAGAATTGGCATCTTACGTTAATGCTAGTGGAATTAGCATTCACTAACGTAAATTTGCATTACGAATCCATGCCATTCAGCCAGTGGCATCATGCCCAGCGATGCTGAGGGGGCACACATGCAAAAACTGTGTCAAATAGATGATTCCTCAAAGTCACACACCCCGTTTGGTATTGGATTCTTCCAAACTTTGCGACCGCAGGTATGAACGCACTGAGAATTCTACTGTGCATCAATGGAGCAAAAGATTAACTGTGGGTTGCTGAAACAGTTAGTAGAGCAATAGCATCAAACATTTTTTCAAACGAGTGCAAAAATGAATTGCAATTATTTATACATAATTGCATTTGAGAAATATAGGCCTACTTTGCTTTGCAAGATAGGTGGCTACTACCAGCTAAAGTTAGCCGCTCCTCAATCCGGTTGTTTAGCCTTCTGGCTCGCTAGCTAGTTGTGACTTGTAACATAGCATCCCATAACATTACTAAAGGAGTGCTCTGAATATCATGACAGTGACCTGAAAGTTTTTACTGCCACTATCCCAGGTTATAGTTAGCAAAATACTGAATTCTATTTATTTGTAAATGCAGAGGAAAACATTCAGCATTGTTTTAAAAAAAACTGAGAAGGCCCCAGTCCAGGCAAATTACGTTATTTTTTTCTCCTTTTTGGGGCAAGTACTGCCATACTCTAACTGTGCCTTCTCAGAATCCTGGCTGCATGACGCCCCTGTATTCAGCTATTCTATAGCACTTTTTATGTAGGAGGCTGTATATTTACAAGTTCTGAGTTGTCGGGAATGCATCAATAAATCACGATGTGCATTACTACTACTGGACCGTAAGGTGAGGGAGTGCATTAAATGCAAATAACATGTTGTCAAAGTAAATACAATTTGTTGCTCTGCTTGTTTTTCTCCATAGGAATGGCTGTGGCGCTATTCTTGCACTGCGGTCACATTCCCCGCCTATTCTCACGAAATTTACTGTACTCTCAGAAGACCCGCTTCCGAGTACCAACAGAAGTAAAGATAAAGGCAGGAAAGGTGAAATGACAAGATGCCAGCAGGGGGTGCCAGCGTTTTTATTAATCCGCCACCCTCCAGCAGAACTAGCTCTCCGAGCAACCCCACAAATGACCGTTAAACATGTAGGTTTGTTTCAATTATTATTTTTTTTTTTACTTTACAGAAAGGCTGTTTAAACAATTCCATAAAAGATGCCATTGGCGTACTCTACCAGTATTGGGGTAATATTGTGTAACAAACTTTTAAAACAAATGTTTAGAACTGAGAAACTTTGCCAGGTTTAATTTCCCCGGTAATCTTTTTTTCAGTCAACACACTCAAACAGTCTCACTTAGATCATTTGGTTACTTTCGGAACCTATCAACCAGACACACCTTTGGTCAAATTATGCCTGCCAACAGATGGACATGGAGCAAATTCCCATCATACCTTCCCTTCACCTTTATATACAGCAGATGGTGTGGTGAAAACATGGAAACTCATTTGTCACTCAGTAAAGCCTACTCACCCAATCAGGAGAGACCCGATCTAGTGTTAGCCAATCTCTACTATATTTTAGACCCAGCCTGCACACCTGTGAGTGGGAGTAAGACATCCACACTGGCAGCAGAACTAATCAACCTGTACACTGATAGAAATTAAAACATTTACTAGTCAACTTTTGCTCAGACTTCCAGCAAAAGCATCTCCTTCCAAATCCACTTATTTCCTAAAGAATGTTGGCACGCACATCTCACCAAACCTACAGAGTGGAACATGACCTATGACCAGCTATCACATCGCTAAAGAACCAAACTCATGGTTTCCATTGTACTTCCAGTTTTCTAGCAGCCTCACTGTAACAGTGTAGAGCCATTGTGGACAGACTGCATGCAAACCCCGCAAGATGGAGCAGAAGGTTAAATCTAAAGCTGGGGCCGGACTTTGGTTGAGTTAAGCCAGCTTTCTTGGAGTGGGCCATCAAAGAGACTTAAGGGCCACAGTGCCCTCTTTGGGAGGAAGTGGGGATGGCACTGGGTCCTACTGCAGGTGGACCACTCTGGGAGACAGAAGACTCAGGTCCTTTGGCAACAGTCTTTCGTTCTGTGGTGGGGAGAGTCAGAGTGACGAAATACAATCAGCTCAGAGTGTGTATAAGTGCCTTAAAAAAAATTAGCTATTTTTTTTTTTTATAAAACGGGCTCGACAGAAAGACAGAGGAGTCTCTCACAGTTATCCAAAGGTAGATGCTAGATCAGACGGTGGGAGGGATCCCTGAAACTCTACGCTGTATTATTCATACAGCTGTATAAAGACATTCTCACAATGGACCAACTTGAGAATAGCATTAAAGTTTGGTGTAATTATTTCTCCTGACCCTCAGGAGAAACAACCAATCTGCAGCAGAGAGTTTAGTGTGTCCCTCAGGCTGATCCAATCTAGCACCAGTAATGCATCTTTACCCAGAATGCACCCAGACAGCATAAGAGTCATGAGATACCAGTTAGCAGTTCTGATTTAGCCCCTACCTGGTTGGGCCTGGTTTTCCAGCTGGGCCTCCGGTTGGTCGACCCAAAGCCGATGCTCGGGATTGTTCAGCAGCCTTTTTGAGTGCCCACAGCTTAGGCAACGGGTCACAGTCGCCCTGTGCTTCCGACCATATCCTGAGCATGGCGAGAGCAGCAGCACTTCAGTTTTCCCCCAAGCCAACCAGCTGGCCAACGCTGCGTTAGCTTGATCACAAGGCATTTCCTGCTCTTGGACATACTTACGTCTCTGTCGCACCGTTGCAGTCATTCCAGGCACCAGTAGGGAGCAGCACTTCTTACATATTGTCCTTTTCACGGATGGATCTCTGTCAGCAGTTTATCAGCCTTCTAAGTAACACTACTGTAAGCAGTTCAGTACCAGGCACAAAGTAAGACTAAGGGACATGCTAACAACTTGCAACTTAACAGGTAGGCCTAAACAAAGTGTATACCCAATATTTATATAGTATTTACACTTTTCCATTCCTTTTCACGAGGACAAATAGTCTGGGGAAAATATGCTGTTAAAATCTTGACAGCATACACACGACAGCAGTAACTTGTGTATAGCAGTGATTCAAAGTGTCAGATCATTTTGGTGAACTGAACGAAATGAATCAAAAAAAGAATCGCTTTGTCCATCACTAATACAGACCCATGCAGCGATAAGCTTCAAATAGTCCTAATTGGCTAACATGCTATTAAAAACGCATTGACACAAAAGGGACGCCAGAGCCATGCGCTCTTAATTAAAGCCGACACACTTACTGTCTTAACACCAAGCGCCTGGATATAGTCCTCTGTGTGAAACAGTAGAACCGGGCCAGCTCCACGTTTTCCGGATTGTGGGCCAGGACACAGTGTGCCGCCTGTGTGGGGAAACGCATCCATGTGGATCTGTAACGGGACACTCGGCGGCTGTGTTCAAATAATACATAGTCTACAGGAACGCACACGTACCTGATAAAGGAAGTTGATCCTCTGCAACGCCTCCTTATCCTTTATGTTTCCCGCCATCGCGGAATCTTTTTACTACTTACTAAAGCGGACACAATAAATTTTCTCAGGCGGTGTGCACAAACAACATTCTCATTTAACGTTTAACAGCATATTCGGAACGTACTACAGACATACCTCACGTAAAGCCTTGCTTGAAGTGTCTGAAATCATATGCTGTTAATAAAGTTTTGTCAGATACGGATCCTCACAAGTAACAAACTTAACGAAAGTCAGAGACGGCGACCGGTTTTATTAACTCTGTTTAAAAAATAAAAACAAAGTTTTGAAATCAAAGCATAATAGTGCAACGTACAGCAGTAGATGCAAGCAATTAGGAAATGAGATAAGATCAAGTTAATGACTGCGGCAAAATTGTAATTCCCTGGCAGAAAATTCTCGGTAGAAACAGCCGTAAAGATAGTAAAAGACCGTGTCTGGAAAGACATCATTTCATTCTGAAACAAAATCAAGTGGCCCGTACGGGGATCGAACCCGCGACCTTGGCGTTATTAGCACCACGCTCTAACCAACTGAGCTAACCGGCCAAGATGCCATCTACCTTCTATTATGCGTGGAAGAATGCATGCTATTTCTGTCAGCGGAGTAAAGTCGGCAGTGGGTTCTCTTGCCTGTCGATCATCGGTTGGAAGTAAAACAAATATTTCAGCGGTCTCGGCTTCCCATTGGCCAGCGGCGGCGAAATGTTTCAGAACGGTCTCGACTGATTGGTCGAGCGACGAGACTGGACCCGCGCTAATGGCCAGCGTGGCGATGACCCACCTGTCCTCCCGTCGCGCGCTTATTTGAATAATTCTGTATCTGAAGGCTGTACATCTGAATGTCTTGGCTGATTATCTTCATATCTGTCACGCTTTCAACTTCACATCGAACATCTACACAGCGCTAACAGGTAAGTCCAACAAACTATTAAATCTGTGCATAAATCTCTCGGGTAAGTCCGTTTCTAGCGTTACTGTTTTGTTATTTTTATAGCGTCATGTTTTGTTATGTAGTATGTACATGATTAGTTTTATGTTTGACGGTTAATTTGATTGGCAGTTTGACCTAGCGATCTTAATGTTGTCGATTGAGCGTCATATTCATACGAATACTGTCGATACTGCTGTAAAATGTGGAATCTGCGAAAAACAATTTGCATAGAAGTGTTTTGCATAGAATTTGCGATAGAATTTTTGCATACAACAGTTACGCATTCAGTGTCATTAGTCACACTTCAGGCCAGTAATTTCTCAGAATGCAATTATAAAATGTAAACACAACCCTGTTTTCTTAAAAAGGGATGGGATGTGCATGTATGTTCATCCAAATTTTTTAGGATGCATTGTATCAATATATCAGTATTTTTTCCCGTTATGTCTTGCACTATCCTCCTGAGGTCCAGCAATTCGTCTTTATCCCCTGTAGAGGACAATATGTTTTTGATCATATCTCTCATACGGCACATGCCACTATAAATTCCTTTTGTTTCTTAAAGAGGACAGCTAGAGCTTTAAGATGACGTTACATGTTTGCAGATGTGACCTTGCCGACCTCCTCTTCCTGTCAAATTTTAAATCAATATGATTTTTTTCTCCCCTGGATCTCAAGAGGCTACACCAACATATGTTTGCATTTTATTGATGTGTTCAATATTTTTTGCTCAGGCTGATGTTTTTTTTACTATAAACACAGCCCTATATTCTTAAAAGGGGACGGAATGTGCATGTATTTGCACCCAAACTTCTTTAGGACCTATTATATCAATATTTATTTGTATTATGTCTTGCAGTATGTCAACATCAGATGGACAGGGAGTCCGGCAACCTGAGCGACACTGCAGCAATGTGCAATATTATGCGGAATATGGATGTGTTTCTCGGGTAAGCAATTAAACCACAAAGCACAACATCATCACATCCCACCAACATCAACACAAAAGTCCCATGTTAACTGATCCCTCATTTGATTCATGCACATAGGTATGCCTGCTTCTTCCCCAAAATGGGCGAGACCTTGAGGCAGCTGGAGGCTCTGTCAGAAAAAGTGTGTTGTGGGATTTGGTGCACATAAGCATTGTACCCATAAGGACAGGGAAAGGAGGCGGTAAAGTCCCTGTTTTAGCTTTATGTATTGTAGTCTGCACAGTTATTTAAAGTTCATGCATAGGAAGTGAGCAGTCACTCTTCACAGTAGCCTACTAAATGTGCTTGTAGTAGTAATGATTGTAGTTGTCGTTAATAATGACTGACGATTCAGTGTCTCCCCCCACCCCTGTCTGTTATCCAGCTAGGTGCAGTGGGTTAGGGAGCAGCTGTTGAAGGCGGAGACCAAAATGGATATGCTGAAGAATACGTCCAGAGGGGGGATGCACAGCAGACACTGCTCAGCTCAGTGCCCTCCATGGTGCCTCTTGCCATCCCACTGAATCCACCAGGCTCCTCTAAGGACATGCCCACCACAGCTCCTGGTGAGTTTTAAATGCAGTATATGCAGAACTAACAACTTCAGTGTTATTTTATTCAGACTTATGCATTCAGATGCTTTGCATCTGTGTTTGTCTGTGTTACTTCCTTTCTCATCTTGTCAGCTATTCAGAGGCTCTGATGGAGCATCGGGGTACAACCACCTGGTCAGGCTGGCGAGAGACCAGGTGGGGCTGCACCACGAGCCCTATGTTTCAGACAGTCACGTCGCCAGCATCGTCTCACTGTGGAACAACCTGCTGGAGAGAGACAGGTAGCTACCTACCGAGGCACAGGGACTGGCTCCTGCAGGGCAGGTTCAAGGCCAGCCACCTCAAGATAAGTGTGCACAGGGCAGGAAAGCCTGAAACGATGAGTGAATTGTTTGTGTAGACAATGATATTACAGATTTCCAGGCATGCATTCTCTGCTGCAGTGTTACACTTGGCCTAACTTCTAAAAAAATGTTTTTGAGCTGACTCCTAGAGGCCATCTGCTCAGAGCTCTGCTCTCTTCACCCAGCTGGCAAGAAGATGACTGGGGTGCGGCTGAACCGCTAGGACTACAGCAGGATCAGACAGCTGGGGCTCATGCAGGCCACAAACTGTCTGTTTGGTAAGTGTGTTCGGCCAACATTCGGGATCAGCTGAAATGAGGGATTTCTTATTGATTAATGTTAACTAAGGTTATTTTAAAAATGTCTAGTTTCTTGAAGGCATAACAGTTTAGTCAGGTGGCAAGAATGTGCTGTGTTCTCTGTGGACATCCCTCTCCCCAGCCCCAGCCTGACAACAAACAGCCAGGCGCACCGAGTGGAGGAGGAGCGAGGCAGCTGACACAGGGTTCCCCATCCCAGCCTGCAGGAGCCATCATCACTACATGTGCAAGCAGTGTGGGCAGCCACAGAAGCAGGTGTTTGGAGAGAGGAGGTTAAAAAAAAATATTCCTCTGTGAAAAGGCGGAAGGGAAGATATTTGAAGAGTGGAAGGTTCAGCAGGAGGAGCCACATTAATTTAATGCTTTTTACAATTAGTTAAATTTTTCTGATTTTCTTATATTGTGTAATTAAAATTATTCTTATAAATTATTATAACTACTATATTGCATTATTATATTTTATATTATTTTTATTTTAAAAAATTATAAAGTTTTGCTGAAGTAAGGTAAGGTGTATATATCAGACCCCCCCCCTGTTGAAAGCTATATATGTTATTTTCAGAGTTATGGCTGGAGCTGGATTGGACCTCTTGGCATGTAGCCTAGTGTTTTGTATTATATCATCCTTATAAGAACATAAGAACTATACAAACGAGAGGAGGCCATTCGGCCCATCGAGCTCGCTTGGGGAGAACTTAACTA